GCATTGATATCTTTACTATTTATTCAAGAGTATAGTAGGATATGAAAACAACCTGATGTCTGCGGATGGATGAATGACAAGAACCATGTATATATTCAAGGTATTTATATAGTCCTCTTGGTTTTTGCAGTGCTGTAGAACAAACCTGGGATCTCATATGTGCTAGGCAAGTGCTCTACCATCCAGATGCATCTCTAGCCTACTTGGTGGTGTTGATTCCTTCGAACCCTTTCCCCTACCCCCCTCATGCTTCCCTATTTCCCTGATCTGGAACTCACTCTGTTAGACCAAGCTGACTTTGAACTCATAGTGTTTGCCTCCCATGAGATGGAATCAAAGGCATGCACCACTACACCTGGCACCTAACTTGTATAAATATTAAAAGCATTATATCAAGAAAGATAGCTAGGTGGTGGTGGTTCACACTTTTAATCCTAGCACTTGGGAGGCAGAGGTAGGCAAATCTCTGAGTTTGAGGCCAGCCTGGTCTACTGAGTGAGTTCCAGGACAGCCAGTGCTACACAGAAAACTCCTGTCTTGAAAAGACAAAGGATTAAAAAACAAACAAACAAAACCCAAACCAAAACAAACAAAACCCCCCAAAAAACTAAGGAAAACTACTCTTATTTCATTTCCTTGGATATATCTGGTAAAGTAGAAATTCTAAAACATAAGATAATACTATTATCAAGGGGTTACCTGATCTTGGGTTTTCAAAACCTCAAAATGGCAGTAGCCTGTTTTGTTTTAAGTGTGTCTCCTTCTTTGGCATCCTCGGCAAAAAAAACAAAACAAAACAAAAAAAACAAAACAAAAAAAAAAAAAACAAAAAAACCCAAAAAACAAACAAACCAAAAAAAAAAACCAAAAACCAAAAACCAAAAACCAAAAACCAAAAACCAAAAACCAACCCCCACAAAACAACAACAACAAAACAAAATAAAAAACCCCCAAAACCCTCATAGGGAGATATCTAATACATGGCTTTGCGATTTCTGTTTTAAAAACCTGTGGCTTCAGGGATGGAGAGATGGTTCAATGCTGGAAATTGAAGTGCTATACTACTGAGATAAATCCTATTTAAAAAACAACTGTGAGTGGCTACAGTTAATAGACACACATGGCTGATTCATGCCTACTGCTCCACCTCACATTGCTCAACATACCAGGCATGTGAATAAGGGCATCTCAGACGAGTCAGTCTTCAAACTAAGTGCAGACAGATAAGCAGACCCAGAAGGAACTAGCAAGGCCAGCCTGGATTGTAAGAACGTCCTGGGCAGCCCACAGGATCCTGAGAATGAACACAGGGTTATGACTGTATGTTCTGTTACACAGGGAAAGCTGGCTGTTACTGGTGATGGAGGTGATACCTTCTTTTTGTTTTTCCATTGCAACCCAGGAGCTGACCTGTGTGAATTTCATGGGACCAGAAGAGTAGGAAAGGGGAGATTTAATTCCCTCAGACCCTTCTTGTTGCACTGTCAAGAGTCTGTGGTGTTTCTAGGTCAAATGCCTTCCTTGCTGAAAGTCTTACACCCACAGCTTCTTCTTACTGTACTACCTGTGTGGAGGGGTGGTTTGGGATTGCCCATTTACTAAGTCTCCCTTGTGATCTTTAAAATTTCTACCTAGAGCCCTGTTACAGTCCCCATTAAGCAGTTCTGATTTTCCTAATTTGATTATACCATCTGTTTCTTGCTGGGACCCTGACTGAGAATAGGCCTTCTCCAGAAGGTAACATCTTGGCAAAGAACTGAATGATCCAACGGAATGAGTCATGGGGAGAGTTGGGTGAAGCGCCAAGTTCCTACAGGAATGAGGAAGCAGGATGAATGGGGTTCAGAGAACTGGAGGGGGTGTGGAAGGAAAAGTCAAGGTGATGATGTGTGTGATGAGGATAGGTGTACAAGGCCCAGAGCAGGTAAATGACACATGGCATAATTGTCCTGTGTAAGGACTGTGGCTTTTATTCTGCATGGAACAGGGACAATTGGAACCACATATATCTAATTAAATCTAATGAGTTTGCTTCCTGTTATGTGCTGACAGCAGCTCTCTGTGACTCCGTAGTGAATTTCTCCTTTCAGTGTCTTTTGAGCCTGCTGATGAATGTGTGGGCGTGCTCAGTCAGCCCAGCATGCTTGGGTGCAAGTTCAAGGCTTTGTGTCTCCATTGATGCTGTGGGTGACATGACCTCTCTTTACAGTTGGATTCAGACTACAGTGTCTTTTTTTTTTGTTAGCATATTCTTTTCAGTTCTGCTAATGATTTGGGAGTGGACACATTCTTCTTACTCCCTTTCTTTTCCTTTTTTCCTTCTTCTTTTTTTTTTTTTGTTGTGAGAGTCAATAGGCCCTTCTATGTCAGCTTCAAAAACTACTTATCTAAAGGGTCTTGCACAATAGAGAACTAACTGCCTAACTACTTCAGGGGGAAGAATATAAGGCATTTAACAGAGAAATACTGTCTACTTGACAACTTCTTGGAGATGGTAGATATTGTCTTAATTATTTAAAAAGCAAGGAGGAGCTGGGGAGATGGCTCCGCAGGTAAAGGCACTTGGTGCCAAGCCTGATGACCTGAGTGGAATCCTGGGGACCACATGGTGGAAGGAGAGAGCTGACTTCTACAAGTTGTTCTCTGATCTCCACACTCACATGCATGCCATCTCACCACAATAAATACATGTGATAAGACATTTAAAAAGCAAGGCACTCGTTTGTATGTAAATGAGATGCGTACAATGGCATACATGCCTGAAACATATTTTGATTACTTAACAGCTATTTCTATTAAATCTGGTGTGAAATCTAGACTACCTTCTAACAGGTTTCTGGAAAAAATGTAAACCCCACTCTCTGCATCCTCCTTATCCCCAACCTGGGATGAGACAGGAGGATTGCAAATGTGAATGAATATAGTCAGAACACCATAGGGAGATCCATGTATTTGTGCTGGCAGGTTGGGAAGGGGATATGCTGGGAAATGAACAGTCACTGGAAAAGAGTAGTTTTGAAATGGAATATATTTACGAAAACTCAATGCATTTTCTAGCTTAGTATACGACTTATCTATTTCAGTCCCATGTTAATGAAAATTTTGTTTTTGATAGCTTCTGAACTCTTTCTCATTTTAAAGTATATACCTTTGGTCTTGTCAATGTGCTGGCTGCTAAGTTGAACTTTGGGATTAAGTTGGCTCCAAACAATTCTGGATTGCATCTTCAATCTTGCAATTGGTATGTTGAAAGCTAACGACCAGGGCAATAGTTATCAAGAGCTGGAGCTATTATAGCTCAATGGCAGAGCAATTGCCTAGCACATGCAAAGTCTTGGGTTATCCCCAGTGTGGTAGGGGGTGGGGGAGGGAAAGAGAGAGAGAGAGAGACAGAGAGACAGAGAGGATGCACTTGGAGGTGGTTATACCGTGATGGCTCAACCTTCATGGATGGGATTAGTGTCCTTATAAGAAATGTTTGACCAGGCCTGATGAAGCATGTTCCCAGCACTCGAGAGGCTGAGGCAAGAGAATTATGTGGCAAAGTCAACCTCAGCTATATGGTGCTTTGGATGTGAGCTTGGGAGAGGAGGATATGGGGTAGGAAGAAAGGTCTGAAGGGGAGAGGACTCTAGACAATGGCAGAGCATATGCTCAGAATACATGAAGTCCCCGGTGTGGTCTTTCAGCATCATTTAGGGAGAAACAAAAAAGGAACCAAAATGGTTTTGAGAGTCTTTAGTCCTTCTGCCATGCGAGGACACAGAGAAGGCACTGTCTATGGAGCAAGGCCCCACTAGATGACAAATCTGCTAGTTCCTTGCTTGGGCTTTCTAGCCTATAGAATAAGGAATATATTTCTGTTGTTTGCAATATATGCACCCAGTTTAAGGCATTTTCTTATAGAAGTAAAAAATGGGCTATGAATATGTTAAATGTAGACTTAAACCACCATTCTTTAAGAGTCAGTATTTCCCCATGATGTCCTAAACTACCCACTCTGTAGAAGCAGACTATTTTTTGAGAGCATGGTGTTTGGGTTCAAATTTTGGCTTTGCTATCAGCTAGGTACATAGCCTTGATTAAATTGTTTCACACTCTGTGCCTAAGCTTCTTTATTTGCAAAATGTATAACTCTGCTATTAAATTTGTTCTGCAAATGAAATAAATTGAAATCCTTAAAATAGTGCTGTGGAGCCGGGCGTTGGTGGTGCACGCCTTTAATCCCAGCACTCGGGAGGCAGAGGCAGGCGGATCTCTGTGAGTTCGAGGCTAGGCTGGACCGACAGCCTCCAAAACAGAGAAACCCTGTCTCGTAAAACCAAAAAAAAAAAAAAAAAAAAGTGCTGTGGACATATCAACATGCTCAATTAGGACCAACAAGTCTCAAGAAAAACAGGAATAAGCCGGGTGTAGTGGCACATGCCTTAAGTCCCAGCACTTGGGAGGCAGAGGCAGGCAGATTTCTGTGAGTTCAAGACTAGCCTGGCCTACATAGAGAGTTCCAGAACAGCCAGAGCTACAAAGTGAGACCCTGTCTCAAAAACAACAACAGAAATACAGGAAAAAAAAGAAAAAATTAAAAGGGTCCTAAAATTTGTACTTGTGTATTTGGAAAACTGATGGGAGTATCATCAAACTAATAAAACCAAAAATGCAATTATAAATCTCACAGAATTCCCATCTCACCCAGGATAAAAGAGATTGAATACAAAAGAATTTAGATAAATTCTTACATAATGAAAGCATTAGAAGTTATTGGAAGATCTAGAGGTGCTCTTTGGAATATAATTACTTTTCTGAGGTAGCGTATAGGAAATCAAGAAGTTGCTGTTAACATATTATAGTGACCTTGCAAATTTAACTTAGAAAACTGCTTGCTAAGTTCCTAAGATAGAACTATTGAATTAGAATCTCTAGAGACGGCGCCTAGGCGTCTTTTAAAGCTTCCCAATGCTTCTAAAAGTGCACGGGGTTTCAGAAACAGCCAGGTAGTAGACTTCTATCCCTTTTAACGACTTTATTTTTTAAGGCAGCTTGTTTCGTATCTGCTGCGTGGTGCCACGTGTCACAGACTTCTGTGGGATCACCTCTCCCCATTTTGCTAAAGAAAATGCTTGACTATAATAAATGTTAGGTAACAATAACACACACAGTAAAGTTCTTTGAAATAGTTCTTCCTAGATCAAATCAGCAGCAATTCCTGGGCCTTGACGACTCTGCAAGCAGAAGGACCAACACAGCATGGTGAAATGAAGGCACTGAGCAGTAGCTACAGGAAGCAAGCTGACTGCTTTAAAATTTCTGAACCCTTGGCATTATCACTATTCTGCCGCCCCCTCCTCCCCCCCGCCCCACCCCCCTCCCTCCCGCTTTACAAAATGTCCCAATATTAAGAAGCTGCCCTACATTTCAAAGCTGCCCTGGGGCAGGCTTCCAATAGAACCCACTGAGTCTCTGTGCATTGGCAACTCCAGACAGGCTCTTTTGATATCGCGTTCCACAGCGTCTTCCTGAGCGCGAATTTCAGTCTGCACCACTGCAACTTTCCAGCCCAGCCTCCGAGGCACTCAACCAGCCAGGCAGCTGCAATGCGCCGCCTAAGCCCGGACGCGCAGGCGCACGAGCGGTTCGGGCGCCCTAGTCCAGGAGGAGGGACTAGCTCTTGAATCCGGCCTCTCATTGGCTGTTTTTTCCAGGCTCCGCCCCTGGATGGTGGAGGCGGTGCGTGGGCCACGTCAGGCAGCGGTGCGGGCTGTGCTTGTGGCAGAAGTGAGGTAAGCCATGCGGCGTGGCTGGCCATCCACCGGCAGCCACCGGGTGGGCTGCCGACACATCGGGGCCGCCTGCAGCCGCGGCCCCCGGGGAGAGGGCGGCGGAAGCCGGAGGACTTGGGCTGGGCTGCAGGCCGGCGGCGGAGCATGTGGCGGCAGGGCCGGGGCGGCGCAGGAGGCGGGCAGGGCGCTTGACCTGCTGCCGGTTCTGCTAGCCTGTCGGGGCGCCCGGCTCCCGGAGGACCTGGCCTTGAGTAGTTTCCCAGGTCTGAAGCGTCGGAGCCGGCTGGCTGTGGAGGGGCTTGGCGGCCCAGGCGGTCCGCACGATCCGGGTGGCTTACCTGCCTCAGGTTGCAGTTGTCCTTCTCCTTGACCGGGTCTCTCTGGTCCGGGGCAGTGCAAGGGGTTCTGGTGCCCTCCTGCTTGGCCTGGGGTAACTGTCCTCATTCCCCGGGACTCAGATGCAAGTTGTGTCCACTTTAATGCAAAGGCTCTGGTTGAGCAGAGCCGCTTTTTTGACTCAGGTCTCTGCCTCTGAGGAGTTTATATGTGAGACTTCCGAATGTCAAGCAGCTAGGTGGATGTTTGCAGGCGCCTGCTGCTCTATACCACTTACTCTGAGTTTGTTTCAGCCGTGGTGCCTTGATTCCTTGTTTGGAGGCTTTGGATTCAGTGAAGTCATCCTCTCCATCATGCAGTCATTGACTCATTCATTGCAAACTTTTAAAATGAGTTTCTTGAACGACATTCCCTGCCTTTGCTTTCAGTTAATACTGCCCGTGCTGGTGTCTGAGTTGACAAGATTTGAGATTTTTTTTTCTTCCTGATGTGGTTCATTTTCAGGGTCTAGATTTAGATGCAAAAGATGGAGTCCTCTAGGACCTTATTCAGAGGTTCTTTTCACCTTCTAATAAGCCTTAAAAGACACTGGCCTTGACTTGGCAAATCCTAGTAACTGCCACTAAAGACCACAGACCTATGGGTTTCCTATCGGAAAAGTGAAGGGATATGATTACAGATCTTCTGTAATTTTGGAAATGTTCAAGGAGAGATGGCATAGAGCAGGTTTACTGAACCGTGGTAGCAATTGGGAACCAACTAAATTAAAAACACATGACGAATTTTGCGCTTATGTATTTTATGCTTTAGTGACAAATTCTGTTCACTAACAGTTTTGACTAGCAAGGGAATGCATGGTTACAATTTTGATTGACATCCAATTTCTGCAAGAAAACACTAACCATGAGTCATCTAAAATTTGAAGTGTAATAATCATGAACTCTTTAGTTACATATAAAGGTACCTTATAGAGACAATTGGACAAGAATGCAGTTCTCAAAGCCTTTAAGACTTGCTTTGGTTGTAAATGGTAGCCAAAACATCTGCCTTACTTTTTTTTTAAATCAAGTTAATCTTATCAATAGTTAACATTTCTTCCTTGTCAATATCTTGCTTAGTTTTTTTCTGTGTCTTTTTAATTAAAAATATTTAAACATTTATTGTATCGTGTTAATATTTGGTGGGTTTTAATTGCTTGATGCCTCTAATTGAAGCCTGATAGCCCAAAAGTAAATAAATTGTTTCGTCAAGGTAAAAAATACCTATAGAGATCTAATAGTTATTTCCCATGGTGATTGGTTAATGGTACTTAATGGTACTTGCTAGTAGAACAGTCCACCCTTTCCTAGTGTAAAGTAATTTCTAAGGTAATTATTTGTGGTCATAATCCTAGTGAAGGGAAGGTGAAGACAAGTGATCCCTGAGCCTTGGTGGACAGTCAGCCTGCCTAGCCTACTTGGCCAATTCCAGGCCACTGAAAAACTCTGTCTCAGATAAAACATACAGAGTCCCCAAGGCATGACAGCTGAGGCTCTCATTGGCCACTACCAGCCCATGTACATAGGCACACTGCATGCATACCTACACACACACACACACACACACTCCCCATTTAGTATATCTAGTTTACTGTATCATGGTCTAGCAACAGTATACTGTAGACTGTGGGCTATTTGCCCTTATAATCCACTGGCTGGCTGGAAGCTGCTGATGGAAGCTGCTGATGGCAGCTGCTTCCAAAATGCCCAGCCCCTCATGCTCCATATGTTGCTAGCTGAGAAAAAGAGCAAAATCAAAATTTGAGGTGCAGTTTCTACTGCATGTTTATTGCTCTTACATCATTGTGAAGCTAGATAGAAACATCAGGTAATCTCACTATGTGGATCAGACTGGCCTCAAACTCACAGAGATCTACTACTTCTGAATGCTGGGGTTAAATATTTATCTTTTAAGTAAGTTATCTCTTCACTTTCCTGAGATCAATGAATTGTTCCATCTAAGCAAGTAAATTGAGTATTTTAGTTCTTTTTAGTGCTCCATAGTTTGTCTTCCAATCTCTATTTAGTCAGAATAATTACTTGCTAATTTGGCTGATAAGCATCTTGAATAAATCTTATAATTGTTATAACTATAGTTTTACGTCCAATTGTATACTATTTTCTCTTTTGATTCCCAGTACTTGGGGAAATGCTGAGGCAGGCAGATCTTTATGAGTTCAAACCCAGTCTGGATACTGAGTTCCTGGAAGGCCAGAACAACATAATAAGACACAACTGAAAAAGAAAAGCCTCTTTGGCTCACTTGCTTTCAAGATTTATTTTAAATTTTACTGTTTAAAAATCATTGAGTATGTTGGTTACATAAGTAAAGCTTCAGTTTCTAGTATATACTGTTAGAACATAATTAGTGAGTAGAAATAGAGGACAGACTTTATATTTTGAGTTTTGATGCATTTAAATAAATGGAAGTTTTGTCTTCTGTGGGTGGTGCATGCACCTTTGTGTGTAAGTACCGGTGATTGTGCCATGGAGCAATGTGAGTTACCTGACATGGGTGCTGGGAACCGAACTCAGGTCCTCTAAAAGAGCCCCACTGTACTTTTAACCACAGAGCTATTTCTCTGGCCTAGATTAGAGGCTTTTAAAACAGGATTTCAGAAAATCTGTGTTTTTATTTTATGTGTATGTTTACTTGTATGTATGACTTTATACTATGTGGATGCAGTGCCCAAGGAGGTCAGAACAAAGCATTGGATCCCCTGGAACTGGAGTTAGAGACAGTTGTAAGCCACCATATGGGAACTGGGAATTAAACCTAGGTCCTCTGGAAGAGCTGCCAGTGCTTTTAACCACTGAGCCATCTCTCCATCTCTGGATTAAAGGCTTTTAAACATAAGATATTTCAGTTTACAATGGATTAACCTCACTATAAGGAGGCATGTATATTAGAATTTAAGCTTTTAGGGTGCTGATGGGATGTAGGGCTTAGGCTAATATGGAATGAGGATGGTGTGTTGGGTGCATCACCTACCCGGACATTGATATAGTTGCTAACTAATGGGGGTGGAGAAGAGGTAGACTTGTGATCTTGGTTTCTGAAGATTTTAAGTGCCTGTCGGTAGGAATGGGTTGGGTCCACTTGCGACATGGGTCTTGATGTTCTGGGGGCTGATACATCTCTGATGTGGGTCACCAAGGATGAGAAGCTAGTTCTCATCTGGTTGTGGAAAGAGCGGAACATTTTATGAAGAGCCAAGGATGTAAAAACATTTATTGATTGGTATTGGAGTCCAAAAGGTTGGGAGGGAGGGAAGAGTGTTTAGTGGGAGGAAGACATCTTAAAAGTGTTTTGACTGGCTGACTCAGTTGGTAAAGTACCTGCTGCACAAGCGTGGAGACCTGAATTGAGATCTCCAGCACCCACACAAAAGCAATCTTTTTTTCTTTTGTTTTGTTTTTTGAGACAGGGTTTCTCTGTGGCTTTGGGGGCTCTCCTGGAATTAGCCCTTGTAGATCAGGCTGGTCTGGAACTCACAGAGATCCGCCTGCCTCTGCCTCCGGAGTGCTGGGATTGAAGGTGTGCGCCACCACTGCCAGGCAAGCTGGTGCAATCTTGTAGGAAGTTTGTAAACTCTGCGGTGAGACCCTTCTTTAAAATAAAAGGCAGTGAATGATCAAGGATGACACATGGTCCTCTGACCTTCACACATGTGCACATGCATGCACACACACCTGCATGCACATGTGCACACAGTCACATGAACAGGTACATATCTCCTACAGATATGCACACATGTCCAAACACACATGCACATTGGGTGGCTCACAATCTAGTTCCACCAGATCTGATTCCCTCTTCTGGTCTCCACAGGCACCTACATCCATATGGTGCACATAAATCCATGGCAGCACACACACACACACACACACACACACACACACACACACACACGCACACACACACACACACACACACACACTGACTCACAAAACAATAGCTTGTTCCAATAGTCTTCAAATTTAGTGTACAGATATGGGGAATTAGTTTGCTTTTGAAATAAGTTGAGTAGCAGTCCCTTTGTAAAGGGGTATATAGGTAGAATGAATGGCGTTTAAGACCATTGTTTGCTCTTTTCTCTCCTTCCTCCTTCTTCCTTTCTCTTTCTTTTCCAGGAGATCTCAAATGTTAGGCAAGCACTCTCCCACTGAGCTATACTCTCAGCCAACCTTAACTTTCACCTTTCTTGTGTTTTGAGACAGTCTTGCTACGTACCGTAGACTGGCCTTGAACTCTTGGCAATCCTTCTGCCTTAGTCTTTCAGGTGCTGGGATTATAGGTGATGTCTGGTTACCTTTCTAGCTACTGTCTTTTGTCCTTTCTGCCTATAATACTGTGAGCACAACAGCCACAGTAATTTGTTTTTTAAATGTGGGTTGTATTTCTTCTTTCTTTTTCCTGAAATCCTATAATGGCTTCTGTGTGTGTGTGTGTGTGTGTGTGTGTGTG